CTCTGACACTGATCTCAGTCTGCACTCTGTAACTCTTTATGTCTGTTTATCTCTTTCTTTCTTTATTTCACTCACTGTCTAAGTGCATGTTGCATTGATAAAGTTTTTTGTTGAAATTTAGGTTGATTTAAAACAATAAAGAACTTTTCATCAAATTAATATTTTTAATGTATATTTTTATTAAAGAAAGAGATGTTGCTGTTTTAATAGTTCCATAAAATATAAGATTGATTCTCAAGATTCTAAAACTGCCTGGCAATTTCTTAAATAAACAGCTTAAAGTTAATATAATGCCATGTTCAATGTTGTTTTATATTTTGAACACAAAAAAATGTTGTTGCTAATTTTCATTATTTTACCACAATAAAGAACGTTTCATCAAATTAGTTGTTTTCATGCATGTTACTGAAAAATAAACAGTTGCCGTTTTAATAGTTCCATTAATTCTGGAAACATTCAACAACTGAATCTAATGTTTTAAAATGGCTTCGACATTTCTACTGAAATAATACTATGTGTTTAATATTGTTTTCATATTTATAAAAAAAAAAATTTGATGATACATATATAAGATTACTGTGACCCTGACATAATATAATTAAATCCATTCATTATTCCAGATTCCTTAAAACTGTATTACTCTGATTGGAATTGTATTTTTTTGTATCAAAGCTGAATCTTAAATAGTTTAAGGACAATTTGATATACTTTATGAATATCACAAATTAAGTTCGTCATTCGTAGAAACTCTCATGTGGAAACATTTTTAGAAGTTTCCAGAAAGTATAATGAATATGAATGAACTACAAAGTCTTATAAGTTATCATTGAATTGATTAATAACCTATTTCAACAAAATTACCATGATTACTTACGTACTATAACAATAATAATACATTTTATTTATATAGCACTTTTCATAGTACTCAAAGACACTTCACATTAAAATCATCATATATAAAAGCAATACACTAAAAACATAAAATACATAATAATGATCACACATTAAAAGCAGTTTTGAAAAGATGCGTTTTGATTTGGGATTTGAATATGGAGAGGTCAGTGCAGTCTCGGATGTGTTTGGGGAGAGAGCTCCAGAGGGAGGGGGCAGATATGGAGAAGGCTCTGTCGCCCCATGTCCGGTGCTTGGTCCTGAGTGGAAGGGACAAGAGGTTGGCATCAGAGGAGCGGAGCCGACGGGATGGAGTGTGGTGGTGAAGCAGGTCGGTGAGGTAGGAGGGGGCCTGATTGTGGAGGGCTTTATGAGTGAGGAGAAGGACTTTGTATTCAATCCGTGGTGGGACGGGGAGCCAGTGGAGGTTCTGGAGAACAGGGGTGATGTGGTCACGAGAGCGGGAGTGGGTGAGCAGGCGAGCAGCAGAGTTCTGGATGTACTGGAGTTTATTTAGGATGATGTGCCGTGAAGAATGCTGTTGCAGTAGTCAATTATGGAGGTGATGAAGGCGTGGATCAGAGGTTATAGTATAAATAGTATTTCCTGACATTATTCTGTTATATCGTGTCACGGGGCAGGTTGGAGGACTCAAATGCAGACCAGGCAGAGTAGCGTGAAGCAGGCGTTTTATTAAACACAACAGGGAGTCCAAGCACAAGACAAGAGACGAGTACGAATACAAATGAGGTATATCATAGTATGAATCATTTAATACTTTGTACATTTGCAATAAAGAAAGAATACATAAAGATGAATATTATTGCGGTACAGAGTAAAAGAGGCAACACTAAGCAGTAGCTAAAGTAAAACAGTATAGTTGTAAATACCTTTTTGCCTTCCAGGTATATTGGTTCAGGCTTTTTCTCTTTGGGCTCTGTGTCCAAAAAGGCCACATAATGGATCAGAGTGAAGATTCTGGATGACCGAACAAGAAAGAATGATTTTGATTGAGAGAAAAAAAGATTGACCTTCCAACATGCAAACAGCATTACAAATAAAACCCTGTTGGTGAAAAACAAAGTAATTTCGTGCAAGTGGTCACCTGTGGTAGAACATCGTCAGGAACTGGATCACAACCGATGTCGCGAATCCAAAGATGAACATGAAGGCAATGGGATCAATTATTACGTCTTCCCCGGTGTACTCCAGCTCGAGGTTGACCTTTGGGAGCTTGATGGAGAATGAGGCCCCAAAGAGCTGCAGGGTAAATGTCGCCACTAGCCACAGGGCATTCATGATGAAGAAGGCAAAGTTTATCTGTGTGTAGAAGAGAAGGATAAGATTAATTTAACATAAATTGCATTGTGGTTTCCCGTTACTGTAGATGTGTACCGTAATTCAGCACCCCACACCTACAGTACCTTGTTCCTCAGCTCTCGCAGGTCATTGCTCATCGTTTTCTGTCTCTCCTTGTCGTCCTGCAGAGGTTCCAGGTACTTCCTCTGAAGCTCTATGAAGAACTCCTCCTCCTGCAGAGAAACCCTTTCAATCAGTTATTCTGTTATTTGTGCATATTTAGATGCAGCGCTTAACAAGAACTTAAGAGTTTTCACCTGCATTATGAAACAGAATATGGTGAGCATCATTGTGACGATGTGATTCAGTGGCAGTTGATCACGCTGACCTGATAAAACGAGACATACACACCTTGTCGAGCAAGTCCTCCTGCAGCTGCATGTCAGTGGACATATTCTGTAGTTGTGTGACAAAACCTGGACGGAAGAGCAAGACAGGAGGGTACTAGAGAGCATTACATTTTCAACAGAGCTGGAATCTTTTTGCAAAAGAATATATCACGATTGATTGATTATTGCACAATTATTTTAACTTACATTGGATAGGTGAGTTGAAAAAAAGGCTCTGCTTGCCTGTAACAGAATCATAACATGTATTAGTATCATCTCACACTTTGTGGCACATTACATTTCAATCGATGTTCCACCTTTAGGACTTACGTCTGTTCCTCTGGGATCCTTTCGTCCCCCACAATCGTGTTTTGGGGCTGGAGTTCTGGCTGTTGGGACTCTGTGATCAGGATCTCCTGGTTGACAGGGAGCTGCACTCCTCCAGCTCTCTGGTTGGATTTTTTGCAACATTTGCAAGACAAGACAAGAACCGTTGGAAGGTGCTTTTGGCTGCAAGGGTGAAGATCAGCTTAAGTTCAGTCAGCACAAACAATAATACTGGTCTCGTGTTGCACTGTGAGTGATTTGACAGTAAACTCTTTTTTATTCTTTTGGTTTCAACATGGTATCTACCTCTCTGGGTTTTTGTTTGCATGGCGACGGGATCTGGTGTTGCAGCTCCAGAGGTAGGTTTTGACTCCCGTGTACCCCAGGACACATTGTTCATGTTGACCATGGAATAGATAGTGAGCAGGAGGTAGGCGCTGGGGATGCAGAGGATGTAGAGAAAGCCGTGAAACACCAGTTGGACTTCCTGAGGATGCATTATCGCAGTGATGATGTAAATCATGGCCATGGAGATGACGAAAATGCTGTTGGGTGTCAGGATGGTTTTGTCCTTCACCATAGAGCCTGGAGAAAGATAAGGGCATGTTGAGTTAGCAGCTCTTCTAACTTTTTTTTTTACAAAGTCCAAATGAAGTCGCTGCACGTGTTTCTATAAAGTTATACCTGTTTGAATATTACTTACCGATAATGGACATCGACACCACCAACATGAGGAATGCGTATATGATACTCAAGACCCCAGCAATAGTTATCTGAGTGTCCGATTTGAGTTTAAAGCAAAGAGCCAGGTAGATGATGGGAGGTATCACAGCCAGGACCAGCGCAGCGTTGGAATCTATTTTTAACACGAATATCAAACTACCTGGAGACCACAAAAGGAAGCACATACAGATTTTTATTTTTGCATTTATTTGAACAAAATGTAATCATTCTTAAAAAAATCGGTTGATCTGAAAATAAATTGTGTCTACAAACACAAAACACCAACCTGCAATCAACAGGCAGATCGTGGCAGGGGCCAGAATAGCTGAGGTGATGGCGAAGAGCTGGTAGAACATGAATGGTTTGGACATGGACGGGTTTCTCTTGGAAATGATGCTGGTGGAGCCGAGCAGATCCACCACGTTGGCCAATGTGGACGGTCCCCATCGCCGACGCTGAAGTTGGTAAATAATCATCAGCCTGACTTGTGTGATTTTTGGTTTAATGACAACTTTTAACCAACAAGATCGATATTCATAGATGCTTCGGATATACAGTTACTGAGTATCTGAGTTTGTCAAATCTTGGAACAGTTCCGATCAGCTACAGCACTCACCTGGTTGTAGAGTTCTTTGAAGTCCTCAGGTGCATTGGTGTAAGCATCAGCTTCTGCGTTGTACTCCACCCTCCATCCCTGCTTCAGCAGCAGAGTACACAGCCAGCGGTCCTCACCTGCAGTGAACAAAAAGTGCATTCATATGTGAGAGGAGACCGACTGACTGAGTGAGAGACAGGAAGTCCTATCAAACAACATCCTCACCTTGGTCATACTGGATGTAGTGGCTTGCCTCCGTGGACTTGGTGGCGTACTTCTTCATCACGTTGTCGTCCATCAGCACTTCTGCTCTGAACAGACTGAAGCAACCGGGGCTGCAAAGCACACAGCCGATCACGTGCTCCGCTGTCTTCTGCAGCCAATGACTGACAGCATATTCAAACTTCTGGAACCACACTGTGGGACCTGTAATTGAAATACAGAGGTATTGTAAATCTCAACAGTTCATAACCCTTTCAGCTTCAGTGGTGGATCTTAGAGCTCTTTTTGTTGATATGATTGGACAGTTATTTAATGTTGTGTTTGGTTAGTTTTTTCCTGCCTTCTCCTAGTTTAATTAAATTATTGTACAATATGCACACCTGATCCGGTGGGGTGAATCCTGCCACACGCTGCCCCGACACGTGGGTACATTTTTAAACGGTCGATGAGCAGCATCACAGCAGCCGGTTGGAAGTCTGTGTCGCCATCTAAAGCCAGGATGTAGGTGTTTTGCTTCTCTCTCTGGAGGAACAGGCACAGTTTGTTTTGATTTACATTTAGGATTAATTTAGAAATACTGTGGATGCGTGTTGGAGCGCATAAAAACAAATCTGCAAAAGTTTTACCCTCATCTTACCTGAAGCTCCGCTGTCAGCTCAGCCTTGTCCTCTCCCTTCTTCAAGCGTGCGTAATATTTGGTCATGAGTTTCCAGCCCAGAAGATAGTACAGATACATGACCTGGAAAATAAGAACAAACACAACTCATTTTCAAGTGTTCAACCGTTGTTGAGCGTGAACGTGACCTAACGTGAGCTGTAATGGTACATGTAAATGTATAGACATTATTTTCCTACCTGAGACCATCTTTTCTTGTGGCGGATGAGGTCTTTGTCCTTGAAGTGAACTATGATGACGTACCCATGAGGCATGGTGACCACCAGACGACCTCAGTACGGCGTCCTTATGATCTTCTGCACAGGGATCTGCTGATTCTGTTTGAAGAACTTGTCATCGATGTTTGTGAAGATGCTGATGACGCAGAATGAGAGAACTTTGATGGTCAATTGTACTGGACAAATTTTTGATGCATAACACTAAATTGCACAGTAACTGTATAGGCCATCTCTAAACATGGTTCTTACCCATAAACTTCTGTGAGGATTGTCACGAGGTTCTCTGCATATTTGTTGAGGTGATTCCCCTGACTGCCTTCAACATGTTTGAATGCGTCGTCAAAGTAGATATGTGATTCAAAGGTGACATTGTTGAACTTTGGGTCTATCTTGTACTTAAGTACAATTGGTTAGTTAATACTGTGATATGAGCTGCTCCATTAACATGTGTCTCACTTAATGTAATCCTTATGATTTCACTTATTACACCTAAATTAAATCTATATTCCCACAGCTCTTTCTGTCAACTTGCTCTTCAATATGCATCACATATGCAAATTCATGTATACGTAACAAAATGTATGAATAATAGCAAACCTTGCTGCATAGGGCCAATCCAAACACAAGCACAGCTACGACACACATGGAGATGATCTTTAGTAGTTTGATCATCTTCCATGGCGTGTGTTCATCTTCAACGGCGGGAACCTCTCGGCAGGTATCCCACGGCTTCCTAAAGAAAGACACCGAGGATAGATCGATGTGACAAATGTGTATAACACACTATAGTTGTAAGCAGATATAAGAAACAAATCATTTATAACATAGGATATAAACAGCTGTAATTATTTAAAATATTTCTCTGAAGAAATTTAAATGATAATTGGTAATTGTTGAAAATCTGCTTAAAACTGCATGATATGTCTTTATATTTAATTGATTATATGTGTATATACTGATTGATAAACAGGGAAAAACTGATGACTCAAATATTTTCACCTTTTCTGTTTAAATAATTATTTTTATTTGTTTAACAGGGACCGTGGACATTAATCAACATTTCAGTTTTCACCTCAATGTCAATGTGCCAGATTTAGCTAGAAAGCTCATTTGTGTCTGTAGTCCGCAGGTTATATTATTATTAATTTAGTGGCGAAATATAAGAGCATAACTGACTCACCTTGCTTACATGAAAAGGCTTACTTTCACATTATTTCTAATCGAATAGACATTGATTGATAACAACTGGAAATAGATTTTCGATTGTATTATTGAAATATAAATAAGTTACATATTAAATGAAATCGAAATAAATACAAATATTTGTACTTACGAGGGCATATCTTTGTAATCCGCCATCCTTCCTTCCTTGCTTCTGTATTGGTGTTGTAAATGAAGACTGTCTGGTTGAGTGCCAGTATTTAAGTGCAGCACTTGTTTCATAACTGGCTTTAGAGGGCGGCGCCAAATTCTCCACAGGTGACCTCAGCAGAGCTATACATACAAGCTGTGATTCAATTAACATTCCAAGTACAAAGCTAATGAACAGCAATTAATACAAGAATAGTAAAGTAAATGGGTGACCCTCTTACAGCAGTCATGTTGTTTCTGTACACAGGAGGTGTGTTCGGAGCAGAGGTGGAAGAAGTACTCAGATATTGTATTTAAGTAAAAGTAGAAATACCACAGTGTTCAAATAGTAGTTAGGTTTTGCTCAAGTAACAGTATACTGGTTGATGCATTTTGGTGCACATCAGGTCAATGTTTTATGCTGGTAAAGGGTCATATACTTTATCTGATGAGTGGCTTGAATTGCCATTTGCAGTACAGAGTGATCATTCGTAAAGGAACACAATAGAAAAAGTCCAACCTCTGCTGGGCTGCAAAGTTCATGACTGAAGTTTCAAGTCATGGGTGGGAAAAGCCACACTTGTGATTTGTTGTCGTCTTACCAATTTTGAGACTTAAAATACAAGCTCTGTTCTGATGTAGGTAAAAAGTTCATGAAGTGTCGAAAAGAGAAAGAGTTCATCCTCTGGGGAGCACGACAGCCTAAAGACAATATCTTAGTGTCACAGGAGGAAAGATAAAGCAGCTCTACCAAAGCGCTAGAGAGCATGAATATCCATTGCTAATTTCATGTTTGGAGTTTGTATTTTGATTTTTAAAAAGGGGGAGTATGAATGTCAATTTCTTAAAAAAAGAAAATCTGTAGATATCAATAAGGTTCTGATCAGACAAATCACCTTTTAGCAGCTTTGGGCGGCTTTTTGCAAATGTTTTCAATGAGATGGATGAAACGATGAATTCAAAACCAGGAGGTCACATGGCTCTGCAGAATAAAGACTCGGTTCAGAGAATAAACCTTTTAAAACAGAAAAAATGTAGCTTCGAACATCGCATAAATGTATTTAAAAATCTCTCGTGCTGATTAGTGTTTGTCAAGGACAAAGTGAGACTAAGAGATCATCAGGTCTACCTCAAAGCTTGTATCTCAGTGTAACATGGTCTGATAACATCAAACTCTTGAACAAATGATGTAGAACTTAGTCATCCGCATGTGTAAATGATTTGTGTCTCATCTACTTCCCTTCAGCAGAAGTGTGACATGCCGCGTTCATATATATTTATGATCATGAAGGGCACAAGAATAAAGCACCGTGGGACTCTGCAGCTACTGCTGCCGTACAAAATGTCCTTCTTTTGACAACTTCGAATACCTGCCTGTCACAACTGCAATCACAAAGATACATGTCTGTAGTAAATCCTACTCTGCAGGGTGCTTTCACAAAGAGTCTGTCTAACAACCTTCAGAAAGACATCTATTGTATCAGTTGCACAAAGCTCTCTACTACCTGATGATGTTAAATAAAAATACATTTCTATGGTTTTTGTGTAAGTTAATAACTTTTTTTTTCATACTAACACGGCAGACCATCCACTTGACCTACTCGGCACCATTACTTTCAAAAGAAAACTGAAAGAAGACATTTCAAAGGGGAATTCCAGCAATGGGTGTAACAACAGAACTAAATAAGAAATGTATCGTACTAACACAGACGTCACACGAGGACTTTCTGTAAAAGATAAAAGAAAAAGATATAAAATATTACATAATATGGAAGTGGAGGGTTAGAAAGAACCAAAAGAGGGCGAGTCTAAACATGTCAGGTGTGTCAGTTTCAAAGGTCACGTGACATAACCACAAAGGCAAAGTCTCCAGTTTTAATCTGGTGCAAGGAACAGTCAACAACCCTTCGTATGTTATCTCACAAAAAAATACTCAAAATATTCAAAATAAACTTCCACCTTCATAGTAAACAACTCTTAATGAATTAACTCGCATGAATCCTGTGGTCTAAAGCCATGCCGATCTTTCCCAGACCACCTGTAAACCATCCAGGGATGTTGTGCCTCAAAGAGCAGATAGGGAGGTAACGATAATCTTTGATGACTTGGACCAACTGTAAACATAATATTCAAAATATTAAAGGGGTAACATTTTCAAAAGATCTAAAAATGTAAAATACATAAAAACAACAACATTGCCAGCAAACACGTTATGAATCAGGTTCTAAATGAATTTCTGTAGGGAGCCGACTTCATGCACGGGGACATGAAATGGCTTTTACCAAACTGTTGGAAGCACGCCGTTGTCTGAAATAGTTTGCTGTAAAATTTCCCTTAATCAGAGCAAAGAGACCCAAAATATGAGAAACAGCCCCGACCAAAAGTGCACACAAGTGAACGGGGCTGTCAAGTAGTGTACAACTAATTTACTATGAATTTAGACTTCTGGAATGTGGGCTGTACCAGTCCCACCTTTAGAGGAAAAATAAATGAAGAAAGAAATGTGAGTGATTTCACTTCAGAGTCACGAGGAAAGAAACCTACAAGAAAAAAACAAGACGATGGCAGTAAATTATTGTATGTCTCATCTAAAATGTCCTTTTCTTTCAGAACAATCTGAAAGACGTCTCCCTCTGCAGATTCATATCTAGCAACCTTTATACAGGAAGTAAAAAATTAAAAATAAATTCAGCAAGACAGTCTAGCCTTGAACAATATGTTGGCTGTGTGTTGCTGATTACCTGTTCAAAAAGGTTGCAGTTTATTGAAAGGCAACTTCTCTATGATATATATTATAAAGTGGTACTCCAGCTATTTAGTACAGGGCAGCTATACAGTATGGGAACCCTCAAGACTAGAAACAGATCATTAAAAAACAACATAGTAGAGTCTCTAAATGTCTGTAATGTAACTAAACGTCTCTTTAAAGGACGTTTCCTCTAAATGAGTTTGTTCTCAGACTCTGATCTAGAAATCTCCACTTCAGCAGCTCTTACATTCACCAAACTTCACTCTTTCATTCCTCTCTGTGTGCTGAAGGTTCACACAGAGGGGTTTGTTCACACAGCATTCAGAGCCTCATTTATACAACATGTTATTAATAAAAACATGGCATGTCTCCGCTTAAATATTAACATATTTATATATAAAAGAACGTTTTAAGAAGGGATTTAAAATACAACAATGATGTCTGATCCCAATAGGATCATCTAAATCACACAACCTTTAAAACATGTCTTGTAACTACGCACAAGTAACAATCTGATGTGCATGCCTGCTGTGACTCAGCAGATTTGCTTCTGCGTGTGATACTCTCTGCAGTACATATTGTACTAATAACATGACATCGTTTTTATTTCTTTGACGTCGGTCCTCAATAGTTACAATGCATGAAATATAAGACAGCACTTGTGCTTTTATGTTCTGTATATGTTGTGTGTTTATGGAGCCTGCAGTATCTCAGGCAGGCACAGGAGGCATTGTCACATCTTCCCTGAGGGGGGGTCCACATAAACATTTGGTGCTCATTCAGTCTGCGTATAACGCTGAACTCTGCATCCTCTCTGCTGCACAGGAATTTAAGTCCCTCCTCCTCCTCTGTTGGCGTTTAGTTGTGGATTTCGAATGTTTAATATGTGCTCGTCCTCGACAGTCTGTGTCAAGCTCCTGTTTTCTCCAGAGCATCACATGAGCAGAGCAACACCACCAAACTAAAATACAGGCTCCAGCGATGCACGGTTAAAACCGTGAGGTATCACAGTCCGGTGTTCAGAATTCACATACAGGAATTCTTTTCCAGCTGCACAAAAAGACAAAGAAACATGCACACCCTGCTGTCCTGGTCTCTGTTCTACATGTAGCGGTTTCACAGGACGAGTCGACTATCAAAACTATGAGTTGTCACTGTGCATCGTCAAAGACTAATCGTTCATCTGTGCCCAAATGAGCCTTTGTTGTGTCCGGTATGTGTCTGTTCAGCCCAGTACTGTGGCCGGTCATTAATGTACGATAACAATGCCAATTGCAAGTCAATTAGGATCCTTTTGTGTGGTGGACACACGGACTAAACGCATTCACGTCACCAATGGTGACTTGTGATTGACTGGTGTTCAACCCCGCGTGTCCCAAAGTGTTCTTGTGGTTTTGTTACCTAAACACAACTCTGCAAAGTTGTTTTAAGCCCAAACATGTTTTTACGAAAAATAGTTTGTTTTGTTGCCTAAATCTAATTCACGTATTGTAACATAATTCCATTGCCTCAGGGCAACGTCGTGCAGTTAGACCACCTACGTTTAGGCAATATCCTGCTTTAGTGTGGAGATGATAATTATGACCATACTCATCGTCGTTACTTTACTGATAGTTACAGAAAGGGACACAGGAACATATGAGGTCAGGGGTCAGTCGGCAGAGTAACATGTGTTTGTTTGCATGTGTGTCAGTACACGAAAAAGGTAAATGACACACTCAAAATGTGTGCTTCCTGCTTTCTTATGAGAGAATTATTGTCTGTTGAATGACACCGAGTCTAACAGTGGTGTGTGGAACAGCAACTTCAGCATTGTATGTGAGTGCATGAGTGGAAAGTGTGACTGCAATGTCGTGTAGTTTAGAAACAAACAATAATGTCAACCGAAAACCAAAATGGGCGCCTCAGGAAGGAGAGAGGGGGACCAACTGAGACTAAAGAAGGTTTTTAACAGAGTGCACGGGCACACGGGGCCCATGTGTTGCCAGTGTTGCTGATGAGCTCAGGTGTTTCCGCTCTGCTGATGACCCTCTGCCACGCCCACCTCCAAACCTGCAGGGAAGCAGCCACAAGGGTCGTCACAATATTAACACTCTTTCAGAGAGCAGCTAAAAGCTCATTTAGGTAGCATGTTGTATTTCATGTTTTGTATCGTCTGTGAAAGGTGCCGTTTGAATAAACGTTGCTAGTTTTAGCCAAGATGATCTTGGAAGTGTTTATTCCTCACGTTTAGCTCCCTATTTCAACCATTTATGCATCATTTTTAGCTCCGATACAGGATGTGTTTTGTTTTTTTAGATCACAACATAATTACTGTCGTTGCAAATAAGTTACTTCACTATTTTTCCACTAGCAACTGTAAAAGTACCGCTGATCTCAGGGCTCACAGGATTATTATTGGGGCAAGATTTAAGAAAAATCAAAAGCACACAATAGTTTGACTTTTGAATTAATACCGGATACTTTTACCATCTCAAAAGTCCCAATGATTCTCCGACGAGGTTTATATATATCTATATATATATATATATATATATATAGATATATATATACACGATATATATAGATATATATATATAACCCCAAATGGCAAATGTCTACAGAACACATTCTTCTTTTCAAGACACTTCTGTTAAAACTTTGTAGAAGGTTGCAGGTGTGCAGTGAAAGCTGGCAGTAGCAGAGAGCAAAATGACTCTAACCCTATCCCATGTTGGCATGGGTGTGATAAATTATCTGCACGGCAGGCATGTTTATTTCATTCTTCTGCGGTATCACTGTATGACAAGTAGTTCAGAATAAATACAGTGATCCTGTACAGCTTTCTGAGGAACAGACATCTTGCTCCCTCTTGTGGTCAGGTCTAGTAACAGCAGCTACAACCATGTTTGAAAACAGGTCATGCAACCATTTTCAGACCTTCTATCACAGTGAATTACATCTCTAAGTATGTGTCTCTAACGCGAGAACGTGCTGAAAAGTAATCAATGAAAATGCTGAAACTGTATTGGGGTTTGTTCATCAACGCGGTCGGGATTTTATACCTTTATTTGTGTGTTGTGTTATTTCGTAGGCATGTTTAAGGTTGAAACAACTTTTCTTTTCATAAAGACTTTAATGATTTGAGAGTAAATCTGTGGGAGCCACAACACAGACTTTTATTTCGTGGAATGTAAAAATATTAACATTCAATTTCACATACAGCTGAGCAGGTCAGAACATTGCTTTCTCTGCTCGTTCACTGGCCCAACTCTGAAATGTAGATTTAAAGATCAACAATCTGCAAAACTAAAGACAATGATGGCTGGAAGATGAACATATTTAAGTCACTTTTGGAGGAAACCGGCCGTCAGTTCACGCTGCAGTAATAGTGTAGCTGAATGATCCGTGTGGTGAAAGCGGTGAGTGAATTGTGGGACGGAGGGAACAGAAAGATGGACGCCCTCGGTGAACAACACAGCAGTCCTCAGAAACGTTTCCATCAGGTTCCTTTCTTTCCAGCTCAGTTTCTCCCACCGAGACGTTTTTTTTTTTTAAGAAGCAGAAAAAGATATAAAATCAGGGATGTGCCCACGACCTGCTAAAACCACAAAGAAAAAATCATCCATTCGCCGTCAGTAGGTGGCGTTTGTCCCAAAACAGAATTAATAAAAAACAAAAGAAAACACAGCCCTGGCAAATAATAATCCACTTGAAAGCTACTTAAAAACCAGCATTTATTTTCAACCGTTTTTGACCCTTTTCTCCCATCTCCGTCCTCTCTGCAGCGTCTCACTCGTACTCGGCGATCAGCACCATCATGCCGACTCCGAACAGCAGGGCCAGGATCTCCATCAGAGACTGGCCGAAACTGGAGCGGCCCGCCAGCAGTTCTGGGAGCACGGTCACAGTGGCGATGTAAACGAACCCGCCGGCCGTGAAGGGCAGGATCCAGGCGGTCGCGGCGGCGCCGACGCCCTCGGCTAACAGGGAGCAAGCTGTGCCGGCCAGAGCTCCCAGAGCCGTCAGCAGCTGTAGACACATGGCCTGATGGGAAAGAGGAAGAGGGTTGCTACAGCGCTCACGTCACGTGGTCTCTTAACCCTAAACCTGCTCTTTGTCTGTGATGGAGTCTTTCTTCTCATACAAACTGCAGCTTGAGTAGGCCGCTACCTTTTTTTTGGTGCAGCCAGACTGGACGAGGATGGCGAAGTCTCCGATCTCGTGTGGGACCTCGTGCAGCAGAATGGTGACGGTGGTGACGGCGCCAACCGTTGGCCCAACCAGGAAGGACGCTCCGATGGCCAGGCCGTCGGTAAAGTTGTGTGTGAAGTCAGCCGCCAGGTTCAGGTAACCCGACACCTTGATGTCTGTGTTAAGAGAAGTGAACGGAGAAGAAATGAGGTGACATTCAGTGATTTCAGCGAGCCTCTATTGAAGACACAGGACCAGGAAGCACTTCTGAGGAAAAAGATCGGTTGCTTCTGTTAGATTGAACAGTTGGAGCATCGATTTTCTCTTAAAATGATTGAAAAGTTTAAATTTGTAATAAATGAGTTGCGTCCGTCATGTCTTCAACAGTTACACTATGAAACTACATTTACAAAACACATTGATGATCATGATATCTGCACAATAAAAGTAAAATGTTAAAAACAATATATTGAGTTTACAAAGGCTGGTATTGTTTTCACGGTGTGCGTCTCTGTGTGCGTGACTGTGGGGAGAGATGTGTTCCTGGAGACGCCCATGGTAGCAGAAGTTCCAAAGAAGTGGTTTTAGGTTTGTTTGTACTTCAGCCTGTCTGGTGACAGATTTGTCACGGTCATAGCGTCACAAAAGTTCAAGAGGCAGCGACGAGTTAAAGTAAACATGACGGCAGGGTGTGAAGACGGGTGTGCTTTGATAGAATCTATAGTTCTATGTGAACTAGATATCGAAAAAGTATTTTCATTCAAATTCAGTTTTAATACAAACATCTACGTCTTTTAACCCGTTTATGATCTCAACACAAACAGCTGTACAACAGCTTTTGAATTAATGAAATACAAAATAAAACAATAAAACACGATGTGAGCACGTACCTGCACAGCCTTCCGAATTTAGTGTTTTAATAACTAGAAATGTAAATGCCCAATGTAAATATCCTTGTGTTGCAAAGTTGTAAATATCGGCAGGTCAGTAACTGACCAGCAGATGGAGCTACTTTGTTTTCAATCACAGTCTTTAATATATTGCTCACCTGTGCTCTTCCTCTCCTCTTTCTTTGACACCGTCTTGTCTTTGCTTTCTTTCGCTCCTTTCTTCTTTTCCTTTTCCTCTTCTCCATCACTGTCCTTTTCCTTGGGAGCATCTGAAAATGTGACATAAAGTTCAAATAAGCCTCAGTCCTCAGATCAACTGATGAGATTAGGAGCAGCGGCTGCAGAGGCTGATTTTAAAAAGGTAATTTGGCTAATATACACTTGAGCAAAATAATACAAATGTACCCAATAACAGTCTTTCATTTCATCAAATCAAGAATGCTTTTTGTTTTGCAGATGAATATTTTATGTTTTCCAAGGAAGTTCCAAGGTGTACCATGCGAGTGTCCGTGGGAATGTCCGTGTCCTCCCTTCAGCGCTCGCACAAACTTCTCCACAACCAGGAAGGCGATGATCCCACCGAGAACCCACAGACCCACTGACATCATGTGACCGTGGGCAGCTCCTGTGCAGGCAGAGGATATCATCATTATTAAGCATACAGCTGAAGATTGAAGATACGGGGTCATTTCTCTGGTGGACTTTTGCACCTGACATCACCCGTCAATAACAAGAGCACCATGTGACGAAAGCAAAAAGAAAGGGGTGTTACTGCGTACCGTGGGAGTGACCGTGGTCATGTGACTCCTCACTTGCGTGCGAGTGTGCGTGATCTTCTTCTCCGTGGTGAGAGTGGGGCTCTGTGCACAACAAACATGACACGGTCAGAAACAGACATTACACTCACACAGATAAACTGAAGATCCTGAAACAGAGTCTGTGTTTTGGATGAGCATTCGATCATCATCATCAGCGTTGAAGATATTCATGTTCGTCTAAAGACAAAGTGGAAGTGAGCTTCATCTCTTAGATTGCCTTCCTTCATGTGTATGGAGTGCATAACAAAAATGAAGAGTGTGAATATACAGCGTTTGATTCAAGAGGGGACTATTTTCTTGTGCACTGATGATTGATCTCATATTTAGGTGTTTTGCATCATAAATGCATCTTAACAAAGAGTTTGTTTCAAGATAACCTGCAAAAGGTGGAGAAGAAAATAAAAACTCATCAACACAGATTAAATGATAAAAAACAAACTTCTATGGATCGATAAACCCACCCAAAGCGTGTGGTATGAGGTGGAGGAAGGCGTCACCCAGCAGTCCACCTGAGGCGAAGCTGAGCAGCACCTTGAGCAGGTTCTGGTGCTGGTCGCTGTTAGACTGAACCGGGATCAGGAACAGGATGAGGAAAGGAGCGGCGCTGATGAGCAGGGTCGCTCCGATGGCCTGCGGACAGGAATGGAGGGAGGGTTACTTTTCTTTTATACACAACACGAGGGTAAAAAACATGGATGAGGATCTCAGTATCAAGATTACGATGTTGTTATTGATCAGTAAAAATTACTCAAGAAATGAATACATGGACAGTTTGCTCCTGAGAGGCTTATCGAGGAGAATAAAACTGATGACGACGGTTACGGGGAATAAAAAGCGTATTGCCGAGAGTCAGATGAGAAGTCCGATCCCACTCTTAAATCTACTTGTTGAATGTGAACAGGAAGTGGTGAGCTTGGTTTAGAATAGAAATTGAAAACACAGAAGTGGTGAGCCTCGGTTATGTGCCGACCATTTCTTGGCCAGAAGCAGCGACTTCCTGTCGAGTCTTAACGGACAGATGTGACCGTGTTATCAATCTCCTCATCAAACTCTCAGCTAGAAGGCAAATAAGCAAACAATTCCACATTTCAGACAGACGACCCATTGTTCCCATTCCAACCCATGACCACACCTGTGTCCAGAGCTCCACCATGTCCCTCTTCTCTCCTTCTGCCTCCCTCTTCACCCTCTCCCCTCCGTGGGAGTGTGCGTGTCCACTCTCCTCCTTGTGCACCCGAACAACATCCTCCTGATGAGCGTGTCCATGATCGTGAGAGTGGGCGTGCCCGTGATCGTGAGCGTGCCCGTGGTCGTGAGCGTGCCCGTGGTCGTGAGCGTGCCCGTGAGCATGCCCATGGTCGTGAACGTGCCCATGGTCGTGAACGTGCTGCTCTTCTTCGTGTGGAAGGAGGTTGGCCTCGGCGCTCCACTTGCTCGCTCCGTGGAACATCCTCGCGTCTTCCTGGTGATCGTCTTCCCCGTGGGCGTGGCCGTGGTGATGGTGGCCGTGGCCGTGGTCCCCATGGGCGCTGGTTGAATGGGCGGCTAACAGGAGTACTGCAGAGGTGGCCAGCATCAGTGCCAGCAGACGAACACAGCCCATATTATCCCCTTTGACAAAGAGAGAAACAGTGAAGAAGACATCAATATATAAACTCACATGTGTCTTATGATCAGTGGCTGTTTACACCTATGATATACTATTCACGTATGTTCTGTCTGCTCGATTGTAAACATTATTTTGTTCATAAAAATAAACCAAGAGCTTCACTTTCCTATCAATGTCATGGCAGATTTAATAATGAAATTGCAAAGAAATAAAAATTAAAAGTAACCATCACTCTGCCTCACTGGCCTCATGTCCATGTATGCACACATCACACGATTAAGGAGGAATACACCATCTGTTTAATGGCATGCGTTACTTGTTTTGAGATGTTGTGCACTTACAGTAGCTACATAACACACTCTGTATGTCGTCAAATGAGTTCCAGATTACCACCAACTCTGGTTGAAGTGACCAGATACTGTGCTTCCTCAGTGAGAATGGGGTGTGTTATGTTGAGCTAGCCTTTCTTCATCAGATCAGCATGTTTGTATTATAGTGCCAACATGGCAGGTATTTAAAATTGCCAAAGAATTTGGCCACTGCAGTGACTCCAGATGGGGATGCATTTTGCTGCATCATGGTCGGTGGTAGAAGAAGTACTCGGATCATTTACTGAAGTAAAAGTAGCAAATATCTCAGTGAAAATAAGTACTAGTGTTGACATTAAAATCTACTGAAAATACTGTCCCTTTGCATACTTGTATACATTTTATTATATCAATGGATCATAACTATTGATGCATTATGTGTACATTACTTTAATGTTGCAGGTGGTAAAGGTGGGGCTCATTTCAATTGATAATAATACATAACTATGATGTGTGCAGACATAAAGGGACAGTTCACCCCAAACACACGTTTAACTTTTCAAATGTAGTTATTTTAGTTGTGATTTAAGCACAAGTCAAGTGCCATACAATCACTACAATATCTAAAAAAAAAAACTCTGCAACCATCCCCAAAACCATCTAGATTATGAACAAACCCTACAAGTAAAGGTAATCACGTGGATCTTTGATTTTGGGATGAACTCTTCCTGTAACTGCAGCGACACGTTTATCTATTTATCAACCAGCCTCTCCAG